ACTTTAAATAAGGCTGGGCAGTTTTATCCCAACATTAGGTCAAATAATGACTAACCTAACTGTTGGGGTAAAATGTTTAATTTAAATTTAACTGAAAAAAACAAACAAATATTGGGTTTTTCCATATTTTGCCCAACACTGAGTAATGACGACCCTGGATTTTTTAAAGGGTACTATAATAACATACATAAATCAATCTGCTGTAGCAATTCTACAGTCGCTATGGTAACACAACAACTATAGTAATTGATTTGTTGTGGTGATTGTGCAGTTGCTATGGTAACACAACAACTATAGTAATTGATTTGTTGTGGTGATTGTGCAGTTGCTATGGTAACAAAAACTATAGCAATTGATCTGTTGAGGTGATTCTACTGTTGCTATGGTAAGAACAACTATAGCAATTGATCTGTTGTGGTGATTGTGTAGTTGCTATGGTAACAAAAACTATAGTAATTGATCTGTTTTTGTGATTCTACAGTCGCTATGGTAACTGTAGAATCACCATAACAGATTAATTATTAGTATAGTTGTCTCGTTACCATAGAAACTTTTGAATCTCCACAACAGATCAGTTACTATAGTAGTTGTGTTACCATAGCAACTGTAGAATCACCACAATGGATTAGTTCATGTTCTTTACTATAGTATGGTTCAAAAACACTGCAGTATTTACTATCAATTACTGTAGCATCTGGTCACATGGGAGGGCCGATGTTATTCTGAATATTGCATCTGACAAACAAACAAATAACTAAACGCATGCATGCATTTCTTTTCAGTTTGTGCTAAATTTGAGACAAACTAAAGGCCTGATGGCTGCAATTCTCCAGTTTTGACTTCATAAGAATGTGCACTGTAATGAACTGGCAGGAAGAAAAAGGGAGGGGAGAAAGTCTCATTTTTTAATAGTAATCCCAGAAGATATTTGGACTGGACTTGAACTCAGACGCTGATCTTGAGAGTGCTCTCTCCCACTTTCATAAAGCTGTCCAAGTTTATTCACTTCACTGGTAATCTGAGCCTAAACTACAGTCTAAACACGCGCACACACACACACACACAAACATGTACACACAAACACGTACACACACACACACAGCCAGAGTCCAAAATTCCAGACAGTTTGTGGAAAGCATGACTTCGTTTCGCTTCACGCAGAGCATACTCTATATGTATCATAGCACATCAAGAAATACTACAGTCCTTTATTGTAAATATTAATGTTTGAAACATTCTGTATTACAGTGATCTATATATTACAGTATCTACAACTCTCAACTGTTAATGAATGCTCCTCCAGCATACTGTAGTATTAACTATAGTGAACAGATAAACAGTGAACTGTAATAAACACGTCAGTATACTTTAGTTTTTACTATACAGCACACTAGTGTATTGTGGTATCCTACATTTAAAAATACTACAGTAATTTATCATGATTACTGTATGTTTTCGAACCATGCTGTAGTGATGCACTGTAATTAGTCTGTAACTAGCACTGTAACTGTGATTCTACACTTGCTATGGTAACACGACACTTATAGATCTGTTGAGGTTATTCTACTGTTGCTATGGTAACACAACTACTATAGTAATTGATCTGTTGAGGTGATTCTACTGTTGCTATGGTAACGCAACTATTATACATCTGTTAAGGTGAATCTACTGTTGCTATGGTAACACAACTACTATAGTAATTGATCTGTTGAGGTGATTCTACTGTTGCTATGGTAACACAACTACTATGGTAATTGATCTGTTGAGGTGATTCTACTGTTGCTATGGTAACACAACTATTATACATCTGTTGAGGTGATTTTACTGTTGCTATGGTAACACAACTACTATAGTAATTGATCTGTTGAGGTGATTCTACTGTTGCTATGGTAACGCAACTATTATAGATCTGTTAAGGTGAATCTACTGTTGCTATGGTAACACAACTACTTTAGTAATTGATTTGTTGAGGTGATTCTACTGTTGCTATGGTAACACAGCTGTTATAGATCTGTTAAGGTGAATCTACTTTTGCTATGGTAACACAACTAATATATTAATTGATCTGTTGTGGTGATTCTGCAGTTGTCATGGTAACACAACAACTATAGTAATTGATCTTTTGTGGTGATTCTACAGTTGCCATGGTAACACAACATTGTTAATTTGAACAAATGACTCAATACTGTATATTTGTCTGCAGCTATAGGGTATGTTATATTACAATGCAACAGTTTACTGTAGTAAAAACTAAAGTATACTACAGTATTTATTGCAGTTCTCTATAGTTAATAGTACAGTATGCCGTAACAAAGAGCTATAAACACTACAATACATACAGCTTAATAGACTTTACTATAGTGTGGATTGAAAAGACTAAATTACTACAGTAGTTTTTCATAAACAGCACTAGAGCCTAGTTGGCGCTTCTTTCTTTTCTCTGGCGTCCTGAGAGGAAGTGGCTGGAATTAAAGCAGACTGCACTGCTGACAAAATGGGCTTTCAATAAACCTTGGCTGCCGATGCAGGAGAAAGACTAAAATAATTCTGAAACCAGTGCAACCACAGAGAGAACTGAGAGAAAACGCTGTTGTGTTCATTCGCCAAATAGCAGGAAAAGTGAGAGGATACACAATAAGAGCGCTATATAACTGTGTGGGACTTACTTCACACACAAACCCAAAACACTTGAGGAGTTTGGAAGATGTTATCTAATTCATTCATTCTTTTTCCTTCAGCTTAGTCCCTTCATTTATCAGGGGTCACCACCGCGGAATGAACCGTCAACTATTCCAGCATATGTTTTACACAGCGGATGCCCTTCCAGCTGCAACCTAGTACTGGGAAACACCCATACACACTCATTCACACACACACACTTATAAACTACGGCCAGTGTAGTTGATCAGTTCCCCTATAGCGCATGTGTTTGGACTGTGGGGGAAACCGGAGCACCCGGGGAAACCCATGCCAACATGAGGAGAACATGCAAACTCCACACAGAAGCACCAACTGACCCAGCCGAGATTCAAACTAGAGACCTGAGTGCTGTGAGGCCACAGTGCGACACCACTGAGCCACATGTTTTTATGATAATAAAAAAGTTAATTTTTCAGCTTCTGAGTAAGTAAATTTTGACAGATAACCATGTTGTGAATCAGTAGATGATTGTAATGTTGTAATATATATGATTGTAAAGGACTGTCATTGTAGGGCAGAATATCTCAGAACTAATAGTCTTACGTCACACAGTGGATTAGTCTGGGAGAGCGGTAAAAAGAGACTGAACTTTCCTCTGACTTCACTAATCAACACAAGATGTGCGTCTGTCTGGCTTAACACAGCATTATTAGAGTACATCACACACCAGTCAGGATATCACTCTTTCAGGAGAAACGTGGCACAGCGTGGAAAAACCTGCTCAGACACTGCAATAGATGATTGTCCTGTTTCTAGTCCAAATATCTCAAAATTCCTAAATCAGGAAGCATTTATTAGAAAAGCACTAAATATTGTGTTGATTTAGGAAATAATGAGTCAAAATAGAGTGAGCTTTTCCTTATCACAAACAAAATAATCTGACAGTTGTCTTGATTCCCAGCGCTGGAAAAGCTCATTAATACCCAAACTACAATTGTGCCACCAAACTGCACTACACTTCCTATCAGGCACTTCACTCACACACCAGTTCTGGATCACTCTGATTACGTGCACACAGCTGGAAGCTCATCTTGGACTATTTATACACCGCAGTTGCACACACACACAGAGCTGAGTCTTCTGTAACATGTGAGTCAGGGTACACGTTGTGGGTCCAAATACAGTTTAACTCATGCAGTCAGTGGTCAAAACAGGAGCAAACAGTATCATGAGGAAAATCCAACCATTGCTGTGGTCACAGGCAAAGAGGTCAATACAAGCGGCAAAACAACATAAACAAAAAACAAGGGAGGGGTCAGAAACAAGACAAGGCTAGACAATAGAACATTTAGTAATGCTGCAGGATAACAAGACTCAGCCATGTGTGTGTATAAATAAGTGTAGTGTATAAATAGTCCAGTATATCAATCTATACTATGCTGTACTGTACTATACTAATTGATAATAAATACTGCAGTGTTTTTTAACCATACTATAGTAAAGTACTTGAACTGATCCGTTGTGGTGATTCTACAGTTGTTATGGTAACAACAAGTATATTAACTGATCTGCTGTGATGATTCTGTAGTTGCTATGGTAACAACAACTATAGTAATTGATCTGTTGTGGTGATTCTGCAGTTGCTATGGTAACACAACTATAGTAATTGATCTGTTGTGGTGATTCTGCAGTTGCTATGGTAACACAACTATAGTAATTGATCTGTTGTGGTGATTCTGCAGTTGCTATGGTAACACAACTATAGTAATTGATCTGTTATGGTGATTCTACAGTTGCTATGGTAACATTACTATAGTAATTGATCTGTTGTGGTGGTTCTGCAGTTGCTATGGTAACACAACAACTATATTAATATGAACAAATGAGCCAATACTGTAGTTTTCTACAACTATAGGGTATCAGTCCATGATGAGCTTCCAGCTGTGTGTACGTAATCATTTGATCTGGAACTGGTGTGTGAGTGAGGTGCCTGATGGGTAATGTAGCGCAGTTTGGGTGATAGTGAGTGTTTCCAGTGATCTACAAGGGCTAGGAGATCGCTGATGATCGTGACAGTTATCTTATGTCAAATGGAAAACTAGATTATTGTGCTTCCCCGTTGCTTGTTTTAGGGAAAACCCTGCTTCATTTTAACTCATTATTTCTGAATTTGGAGATATTTGGACAAGAAACAAGACAAAAACTCCTAGTAAGGAAAGCATTTTTTGCAGTGTGAAGTCTGTTGGCAGAAGAGAAGACACCTGTTGTTTCTGCACATGTTCTTAAGTGTTCACGATATCTATGCTGAAATTGCTCAGCCCTAGATCAGCCTCATCTAATCAGAGTTTTTTTTGTCCAAGGAAGAAGCTCTCATGTCTGGTGTTTTGATGATTGGGATTCACAAAGACGCCCGCTCCCATGTGCTTCACCTTTCCAGAAACAAACGCTACACGCTGACGCCGGAGAAACTCAAGTGGGACAATTTCAAGATGACCTACAAGTAAGAGACGTCTTCTATGATCACAGACCTCTGTCTGAAACAGCGCAACCTTAGCCAAAATGAAGAGTTTTCCTTAAAACAAGCCAAACAATCTGACCATGGGGGAAGCAGAATCATCTAGTTTTAGATGTGAAATGTTTTTAATTGGGCTTGCTGCATTGGCAGATTATTGTGCTTATTTTAAGAAAAAACTCTCTTCATTTTGACTCATCAGTTCTGAGAACACGACAGCACAGTTGAATAAAGGGCTTCTTCCTCAGGGCAGTCAGCTGAATGTTTTTGGGCTGTACTTTTACACGGTTTTTGTGTATCTCTGTTGTGTTTGAGCAGATTGTTGTCTTTTCCGAGGAATCTGTTGAACGCCACTGACACGAGGAGAGGGATCTCCAAGGCCTTCTCCATGTGGAGCGACGTCTCGCCCTTCAGCTTTCGCGAAGTTCCTTCTGACCAAGAGGCCGACATCAAAATCGGTACATCAGATACATTTACATTAACCCACAAGAGAAAACACTGTAGTAAACACTGACTGCGCTGTCTTTGAAGCTCTTGATTTAGTCTGCCGATGTGCTTCTGCAGTTGCTATGGTAACACAAAAGCTATAATTATGGTGATTCTATAGTTGCTATGGTAACACAATTACTATAGTTATTGACTTGTGGTGATTCTATAGTTGCTATGGTAACACAACAACAATAGTAATTGATCTGTTGTGGTGATTCTACAGTTGCTATGGTAACTCAACAACTACAATAATTGATCTGTTGTGGTGATTCTACAGTTGCTATGGTAACACAACAACAATAGTAATTGATCTGTTGTGGTGATTCTACAGTTGCTATGGTAACAACAACTGTATTAATTGATCTGTTGTGGTGATTCTACAGTTTCTATGGTAACAACAACTAAACTAATTGATCTGTTGTGGTGATTCTACAGTTGCTATGGTAACACAACAACTATAGTAATTGATCTGTTGTGGTGATTCTACAGTTGCTATGGTAACAACAACTATAGTAATTGATCTGTTGTGGTGATTCTACAGTTGCTATGGTAACAACAACTATAGTAATTGATCTGTTGTGGTGATTCTACAGTTGCTATGGTAACACAACAACTATAGTAATTGATCTGTTGTGGTGATTCTACAGTTGCTATGGTAACACAACAACTATAGTAATTGATCTGTTGTGGTGATTCTACAGTTGCTATGGTAACACAACAACAATACTAATATAAACAAATGAGCCAATACTGCACTACTGTTACGTATTACGTGACTTCCGTGGACTTTAAACATTTAGTCAGAATGTTTGATTTATTTTTGGCATGAATGCATTACCCCCCCCCCCCAATCCACAGGAGCTTTACGCATCCGCCTGTTTGTTTGTCTTCGGTCAGGTTTTTACTCTGTTAACCACACGGACTGTCTGCACTCTCACCTGCACCACTGTTTCGATGGCATCACTGGAGAGCTGGCACACGCTTTCTTCCCCCAGACCGGAGAAATACACTTCGATGATGACGAGTACTGGATCCTGGGGAACATGCGCTTCAGCTGGAACAAAGGCAGGTTGCTGAGCGAGAAGCCAATACTGCAGTCTGAGCATTTACTGAGTGCTTATAGAAAAGAGTACAGAGAGTTTGCTGGAATTGTCCAGTCTCGACATTTTTGCAAGGTTAAGGTGATTCTAGAAATTATTTTGTACGGTGTATGTAGGAATATAGATATAATACTATAATATACACATATAATATACTATATACACTGCAAAACAATGCTTTTCTCACTTTTGTCTCGTTTCTAGTCCAAATATCTCAGAATTCTTAAATCAAGAAGCATTTTCTGGACAAGCAAAACATGTTGTCTTGTTTTCAGAAATGTTTTCAGTCAAAATGAAGAGAGTTTTTCATTAAAACAAGCAAAATAGTCCTGTTTTTCCTTTTGACATTGGATTGTTTTGCTTTATTATTAAATAAATGATCTAAAAATTATTAATATTATTAAATAGAATTTTTATGTTTCTCTGTTATCTAACAAGACAAGTTCAAATTACTGAACTGATATTTAGACATTATTTTTGATACTGCTTTAAATCAAGACAAAAAATAACTTTAGGCACCCAGAAACAGGCATTTCAGTCTATAATGAACACTCTGCACCCCACAGTCCCTGTGAATTTTAGATTTTTTTTTAAACAGATTTTTTATGTCACCCCACAAGTTTTCAATAGGGTTGAGTTCAGGGGTCTGAGCAGGCCACTCCTTTACCTCCTTTGCCTGAAACCAAAATGTTGCTCACTTCCTCATGTATTTAACGTCTTGTCCTGTTGAAACACTCATTTCAGGGGCATTAAAGGTGTGTGTGTGAGATTCTGTGGTTGTGTCAGGAGTTGTCCTGATTGTGTGTGTGTGTGTGTGTGTGTGTGTTCAGGAGTGTGGTTGACAGATCTGGTGCATGTTGCTGCTCATGAGATTGGCCATGTGCTGGGTTTGATGCACTCCCAGAACCCCAAGGCTTTAATGCACCTGAACGCCACGCTGACGGGCCGCAAACTCATCACTCAAGACGAGGTCTGGGGTTTACACCGACTCTACGGTACTCACTAATGTACACTTTAAACCAGGAGTGACCAACTCTGTTCTTGGAGATCTACCCTCCGGCAGATTTCAGTTGCAACCCATGCCAAACACATCATCAAGCGCTGTTCAGGTGTGTTTGATCAGGGCTGGAGCTGAACTCTGCTGCAAGGCAGATCTCCAGGAACAGGGTTGTGTCCTCCTGCCTTAAACTAATGCACTCGCTGGATTATTTCTGCATGTACCTGATGTTCTGTTCGTGTCCACCGCAGGGTGTTTGGATCGGTTCTTCATCTGTCCTTCATGGGCCAGGAAAGGATACTGCGACAGCAAGAGGAAGCTGATGCAGAAACACTGCCCGTCCAGCTGCGACTTCTGTTACGGTGAGACGCCTCGTATTCACTACTAATCACATGACTAAAATAGAGTTCAAAATATACCAAAATGATCTCAAATAAATATTTACAAATACATTTTAACAGTTTTAGAAGATATATACATATATAGATCTGTCAATAAAAAATGGTCACTTTATTTTGATGGTCTGTTTGTTGAATTTAAGTTACATTGCATCTGCATGCAGACTAATCCTCATTAGATTATCAGTAGACTGGTAGTGTTGGGGTTAGTGTAAGTTTTACTTGCAAAGTTTCTTCTAGTCAATTAATATATATATATATATATATATATATATATATATACAGTCAATTTGGTTGATCTGCAGGTTGATATTACATGAGAATGTTTTTATACATATATATATATATATATATAGCTATGTATTTTAGTTTATAACGAACAAACTGCATCTGTAGTTCCTGATAATTTTAGGTTCTGCTTCAGAAACTGAATTCTTATTGTCACATATTACAACAAATGGTGAAATAGGTATTTAAGTATTAAGTTATTCTCTTCAGAGATTTTTAAAAAATAGGTTATATCTTATATAATTATACTTTTAAGGAATTATAAAAGCTTATTTATCATGTTAGGATTTTATAGTGTTTGTATAGTGATGTTTTTTTATGTTCTTGTTGGGTCTGTTGCAACGTAATTTCGTTCTGTATTACAATTCTATTGTGATGTGTTGAATTACATAAATAAAGGAAACTGAAACACAACACAATTTTTCAATAGGGTTGAGGTCAGGGGATTGAGCAGGCCACTCCTCTACCTCAATTCTTTTTGCCTGAAACGAAGGTGATATTTAAAATTATATATATATATATATATATATATATATATATATATATATATATATATATATATATATATATATATATATATATATATGTAAATATTACCATAAAATTCAATCCAAGAAAATGCATTAACATGCATACACATTAAGAAAATCGGTCCCACTTTGTAATAAGTGGCCTAAACTAATATGTACTTACACAGGAATTAATAGTTTGTTACAATGTACTAATTGTGTAAATACATGTATTTACTGTGTACTTATGCTTGATTAAATACATGTAGGTAATTACATCTGTAATTAACTTTTGAAATTACATTTGTAAATACACTGTTGACCATCCCTTACACCTTAACCTACCCTTCATCCTACCCATGCCACCAAACCTGTCCATAACCCAACCTCTATCCCAACTCAAAAGCACCACAAGTGTTCTCAAATACATTATAGACACATTAAGTACATTGTATTTATTTTTTTGATGTAAGTACATAGTAGTTAAGGACACTTAATATAAAGTGGGACCAGAAAATCTTTATTAGCACCTCAAGAAAATTAAATATGTAATATCCTATATGTTATGATATATAATATACTATAATATACTGTGGCAGCATGGTGGCGCAGTGGAAAGCGGTCTCACCTCACAGCAAGAAGGTCGCTGGTTCAAGTCCCAGCTGGGTCAGTCTGTGTTTCTGTGTGGAGTTTGCATGTTCTCCGGTTTCCCCCACAGTCCAAACACATGCACTATAGGGCAACTGATCAACTAAACTGGCCGTAGTGTATGAGTGTGTGTTTCCCAGTGATGGGTTGCAACTTGAAGGGCATTCACTGTGTAAAACATATGCTGGATAATTTGGTGGTTCATTCCGCTGTGGCGACCCCTGATTAATAAAGGGATGAATATATAATTTATATAGCATTCAGAGGTTACGTGTAGCTGTGGATGGAGAGCATTGAGATTTATAATGATGTTTTTGCCCTCATGTGTCATTCACATCTCAAAACTTTCCAAAACTGAACTTTATCCTCTGAAACTCTGTCCTGCATCAGAAATATGTATTCTCAAACACTGGGGAGAACCAGAGAACATCTAGAAAGACTGAAATAACTTCAATCCACTGCTGGCGATCAGTATTACTCGTTGATGGACTCACAGACGTGTGATCAGATTTGTGTTTAACTTTGACAGAGTTCCCGTTTCCCACCGCACGGCCGACCACAGCGCCACCGCGGACCAAACACAAGTTTGTTGTGGAGGGGAAAAACCTCACCTTCCGCTGTGGTAAGAAGATAGCAGCCAAGAAAGGCAAAATCTAGTGAGTTCTGCTTTACATTTAAAGCTGTGCAAGATATTTTGCTGATTAAAGCCTTTACACAAGACTGTTATAATGCGTTTAGCAGTCATCGGCATCTAAACGTTTTATTATTCCGATTTTTTTAGAAAGCTTATGTTCATTTATAAAGCGACTACACTCACTGGCCACTTTATTAGGTACACCTCATGCTTTAATCCTCGGTGTCAGAGATTCAACAAGCTGCTGGAAATATTCCTCAGAGATTTTGCTCCATGATAGCATCACACAGTTGCTGCAGATTTGTCGGCTGCACATCCATGATGCCAATCTCCCGTTCAAAGCTCGGTTGTAACGAGTGCTTATTCGAGTTACTGTTGCCTTTCTATCAGCTGGAACCAGTCTGGCCATTCTCCTCTGACCTCATCAACAAGGCATTTGCGCCCACAGAACTGCCGCTCACTGGAGATTTCCTAGAGATGGTTGTGCGTGAAAATCCCAGTAGATCAGCAGTTTCTGAAATACTCAGAGCAGCCCGTCTGGCAGCAACAACCATGCCACATTCAAAGTCTCTTAAATCCCCTTTCTTCCCCATTCTGATGCTCACTTTGAACTGCAGCAGATCCTCTTGACCATGTCTACATGCAGTGAGCTGCAGCCATGTGATTGGCTGATTAGACATTTGCGTTATTGAGCAGTTGGACAGGTGTACCTAATAAAGTGGCCGTTTAGTGTGTCTGTATGTATAAATATGTGTGTATATATATACACACACTTTCTATTATATCATTGGAAAAGGAATTATTGTGAGTGTAATGCAGTGTGTATGGGTGCAGGACAGTAAATCTGGCATTATTCTCTCTTATATCTGCCGTTATCAGTCTCACACTATTTTATTTATTGTTCTGACAGTCTTGATAACACTATCGTGGAGTTTTTCTGTCTCTATTTGAGCAATTAGGAGCGCAAACGGTGTATTAGTGTTGTTCTCTCCCACTCACTTCACTCTCAGCTTTCCAACTATAAACACTTCCAATGCAGAGAAACACGCAAATGTGGAAACTGCCCATTGGACTGTTTTTATTTTGATAAGTCTGTTTTTGTTGAGCAATTGAGTCTATCATTTGTGTATTTTAATGATAGCCTAGCTATGTTTCCGTCTTTAAATGTAAACACAGCTAAAGTTACACTGACCTGCTGTATTCTCTCTCTCTCTGACAGCTGGTATAAAGACGGCGAGCTGCTGGAGTTTTCTCACCCCGGCTACATTTCTCTGAAGGACGACCACATCACTATAGTGGCGAACGCCATCAACGAGGGCACGTACACCTGCATCGTCAAGAAGAAGAACAAAGTGCTGACCACGTACTCCTGGAGGGTACGAGTGCGCTTCTGAAGACCACTACACCACAGAAGCTGCTGACCCCCATCTGCAGTGCGGAAGTCAACACCATTCTGAGATCAGTCTAGAGCTTATCGGGAGACAGGACGAGGGCTGTGTCCAAAATCACCCCCATATCCTTAACCCTTGAGTACTGTTCAGATTTACTCCCCTTTCGTTAGGACTCATGTTGCCTCTTAATCCCAACAGGGAAAACCAGCAGCAATGAAGGATGCAGGATGATCTGCTGTCCTGGCTATCAATAAATGTGCTTATAATGGAAGTCAATGGAGCAGAAACATCACCAAAGGGGAGTCCATCTGAACAGCGTGTGTATTGTCAAGTACATTTTCAAAGCATTTTCTCAAAATATGCGTGAACATTAAAAGCTGTGCTAGGGTATAGGGGGGTGGTTTCGGATACAGCACTAGCTCAGCATCCTGCCTCCTGATTGGAGGAGGATGTGACATCATAACTCTGCATCTCAGAGCAGACATCGGGGTACAGTGGATAAAACTATTATTATTATTCTTTAATTAAATCACTCACTCGGGCACATATTATTGTCAGTTCACACATACATGTGGACAAACGGTCTAATATCAGGGTTTATGTGTTTTATAAATGCATTTCTTACTTGCCAAATAAAACAGTTTGTTGTTATCCAGCGTCTCCAGATTTAAACGCCTGCAAATGTTCAACATTACTCAGTTTATATTCACTACATGTCGTTTAAATGTGTTTATATATTTCACAGCTGAACAACAAGAGTGTTTCACTCCCTTCCTGTGAAGTCCATGACTTATAACTGCCCTAAAACTATTAATAATCAACTCTAGAAATTAGAAAACTCTATAAATGATTAATTATAACAGCTTATAACTATTATTTTTAAAGCAAAACCATTCTATAAATGGTTCATCTATAAATAAAGACACAACGAAATCTGCATAATGCATTATAATGGGTTATAGCTATACATTTATAATATTTACTCCAGCTTAGTCCCTTTATTCATCAGGGGTTGCCACAGTGGAATGAACCACCAACTATTCCAGCATGCAACCCAGTACTAGGAAAACTCCAAAATATTGTGCTAAAATATATATATATATATATATATTAAACACACACACATATATAAATATATTTATATCTATATATATATTTATATCTATATATATAACACACACATATATATATATATATATATATATATATATATATATATATATATAAAACACACATATCTATATATATCTATCTATATCTATCTATATATATATATATATATATATATATATATATATATATATATATATATATAAAACATACTTTAGCACAATTCTGCCTAGCACGTTTTGTATAATTATTTGTTCTCTGTACTATGGTTATTTTTAGGTTTTGCAGTCGGATTGAAATGAAGATGACATTGTTTTCACCTAGTTATTAATAATGCATTTATGAAGAGTAATCACTGCATTTATGTTTATTAAATATAATGTTTATATTTATAAAGCACATTTCATACACAATGGTAATTCAAAGTGCTTAACACAAAAAAAAATAATAATAATAAATAAATAAATATATATATATATATATATATATATATATATATATATATATTAAAAACTCATTTAAAATGTAATAAGTATATTAATAAGCAGTTATGAGTAGGCCCACATGGAACCCGCAGATTTTTAGCCCTTCGCTGAGTCTGTTTATTTACCCGTGTAAATTAATTTAGATTGATCCAGTTTTATTAACTTCAGCAATATTATTGACTAATATATAAAAAACGTTAATCTGATTTATTTACATTAAAGTTTATTATCTTAAGTAATATTTTCTGTCATTTAGCAGATATTACATGAGAGACTTGCTTTGTTTACAGAATAAGTGGATCTACAGGGATGAACGGGGATCAGTTTTCTGTTGTTCAGCTGTGAGAAATAAAAGCCGTTTCTAATATATACATTCAAGATGTTGGTTAGGGCAAAAACTCCTTGTAATATAGAGTAAACTCCTTCTATCGTGTGCCGTTGCTTTTAGTTAAAACACAACTTAAATCAGCCTTTGTCAATCTGGCAACCTGCCCTTGTGCGCGTTTTGAACCAGGAGTGCAATACCTAGTTCAACCACTAGGTGTCAAACTCACATGCTGCAGCATTAACACTAAACATCTCGCTTTATTTGATTAAAATAACAGCACAGAGCGAAGCTGTCTGAGGAGGAAAACAGTGTCTTCAGCTGAGGCTCAAGAGAAACTAAAGAAGAATACATCTTGGAGCGCAGGAATCAGGAATACGCTGCGTCTGCTGTAATGAAGACAGCGCTAATAATACCGTCATGTGCACTTCTTCAACACACAGCTTACCTTCCAGCCAATCCGAATGTCGTTTTCAGAATACGTGTTTTATTGAGATGCACACGTCTCCACAGACAGGTTTAAGATCACCCTACTCCTAAATAAAACTGTAGACGGAGAGAAATAAACAATATAAAAGAGCTTCGCTGCTGGAACGCTGTGATCTGCTGCATATTTCAGGACAAACGAAGAAGCATCTAGCAAAACAGAGCAGCGAGAGAATCGCAGAGCTCCTGTAAACACACACACACACGCTGCTGCAGAGTCTGTGTGTGTGTGTGTGTGTGATGCTGCCGCTCGTCCTCTATGAATGAGTCTCAGCGAGCGTCAGAATAATCCAGCAAAGCTCAGAACTTGAGGCTGAACCCTGGACCGGCCATCGAGGCGCCCTTATTGGCTGTGGTCAGGTGGAAACCTGTGTCTTTAAGATCATCATCGCCCTGAGAACAACACAACACACACACACACACACACACACACACACACACACACACACACACACACACACACACACACATGCACACACACAAACTGTATTACTAGATTATCATGCAGAGCTACCGCACGTGAAATGTCACTGCATTACTGTGCGTGTGTGTGTGTTTGTGTGTGTGTGTGAGTGTATGCATGCATGCGAGTGAGTGTAAATTTATGTATGTGTGCATGCGTGTGTGTGCATGTATGATTATGAAAGTGAATCTGAGTGTGTTTCAGGGAGAGTGTGTGTGAGCGTGAATAAGTGTGTGTGCCTGTTTTTGAGCATGAGTGTGTGTATGAGTGTGTGTGTGTGTGAGAGAGAGAGTGAGCACGTTTATAAGTGTGTGTATGAGCATGTGAATGTGTGCTTGCGTGTGTGTGTGTGTGTGTGTGTGTAAAGGTTTGTGTAAGAGAAGGTGTATTACATGTGTGTATGTATGTGAATGTGTGTTTATGCATGTATGATCAACCATGTGTATGAGCGTGTGTGTGTGAGAGAGAGAGAGAGATTCTGTGTGTGTATATGAGGATGAGTGTGTGTTTGTGACTGAGCATATGAATAAGTGTGTGTCTGTGTGTGTTTGAGCATGTGAGAGTGAGCATACGTGTGTGAGCACTGTATAAGTGTGTTTGTATTTGTGTGTGTGTGTGTGTGTGTGTGTGTGTGTACCAGCTGGCTGAAGTCCTGTCCTCCCTCTGGTGCTCGGGGGCTCGTCCCCCTCTTGACGCGCTGCTGTTCGCTCTTGGCCGGCCAGGTGGGGAACATGGAGGGGTCGATGGGCAGCGGAGACTCGCGGAAGTACTCGTGTTTCAGAGCCTCGTCTGCGCTGATGCGCTTGGCTGGACAGTACGTCAGGAACCTAACACACACACACACACACACACACACACACACACACAGGAGACGAGAAAACACTGTCATGCTGGAAGAGCTCATGGACACACACAATTAAAAACAAATGCATGCTCACAGACACACACACACATTCATGCTCACATACACATTCACACAGATACACATACACACTCTCAGACACTCATGCGCGCTCACACACACAAATACAGGCACACTCACACAGACACACAACCACCCACACTCGCTCATATACAGACATGCAGGCACACTAGCAACTTCAGCCCAAGTGCATTCTAGTGTCTTATCTAGTGTGGGCTCACTGGTGTGGATAACTGTGTGTGTGCAGCAGCAGAAACTCTCACTTGTTCATGAGGTCGAAGCCCTGGTCGGACAGCAGCGCACCGAAGCGCTTGCGCAGGTTATTGTAGGGATACTCAGTGAAGGTCATCTTCTTCACTGCTGGTAGCTCGCTGTAACCCGGCCAGATCTTCTCACTCGGAGAGCCCAGGTCCTGCTCACGCACAGAGAAGTGGGTCACTACATGTTTAAAGTCCTGTAGCAGTTCAGCTCATCACTTTACTTTTGCCATCTGTTGGAAAACACTGCATGACCCACAGCAGATACATCAACCAATCAATGTGCACTTCTGGAACACCTGTCAACAGTCTGTGATTGGTCAGCTGGCCTGGGCTTTCGTGATTGGCCTGTTGTGATTGGTCAGCTAGCCTGGGCTTTTGTGATTGGTCTGTTGTGATTGGTCAGCTGGCCTGGGCTTTTGTGATTGGTCTGTTGTGATTGGTCAGCTGGCCTGGGCTTTTGTGATTGGTCTGTTTCTATTGGTCAGCTGGCCTGGGCTTTTGTGATTGGCCTGTTGTGATTGGTCAGCTAGCCTGGGTTTTTGTGATTGGTCTGTTTCTATTGGTCAGCTAGCCTGGGCTTTTGTGATTGGTCTGTTGTGATTGGTCAGCTAGCCTGGGCTTTTGTGATTGGTCTGTTGCTATTGGTCAGCTAGCCTGGGTTTTTGTGATTGGTCTGTTGCTATTGGTCAGCTAGCCTGGGCTTTTGTGATTGGTCTGTTTCTATTGGTCAGCTAGCTTTGGCTTTTGCGATTGGTCTGTTGCTATTGGTCAGCTGGCCTGGGCTTTTGTGATTGGTCTGTTGCTATTGGTCAGCTGGCCTGGGCTTTTGTGATTGGTCTGTTGTGATTGGTCAGCTGGCCTGGGCTTTTGCCATTGGTCTTATCCTATTGGTCAGCTGACCTGGGCTTTGGTGATTGGTCTGTTGCTATTGGTCAGCTGTCTGTTGCTATTGGTCAGCTAGCCTGGGCTTTTGTGATTGGTCTGTTGTGATTGGTCAGCTAGCCTGGGCTTTTGTGATTGGTCTGTTGTGATTGGTCAGCTGGCCTGGGCTTTTGTGATTGGTCTGTTGCTATTGGTCAGCTAGACTGGTCTGATGTGATTGGCTAGCAAGGCTGGGATTTTGTGACTGGTCTGTTGTGATTGGTCAGCTAGTCTGAGCATTTGTGATTGGCCTCTTAAATGAATGCATAATTCTGCAAACACCTGAGGAGATTTTTCTGCATGAAAGACTTGTGAAGGGCAGATCAACCTGCTGCTTAAATGTACAATATGGCCAGAATTTAGATATAAAAGAAATGTGGAGGATATGTGGAGATGATTGGCATGGCTCATAAATAAGCAACAGAACTCTCCATTAATCAGGAAGTAGTTCATCCTAAATCTTCACAATAAATGTACATGCTTTTAAGATGTAGAATAATCAGGCGAACTGAGACGCAGAATGACTGAATATATTGGGAATACCTTGAAGATTTTGTTGATTTGATCGATCTCAGATTTTCCAGGGAATAAGGGTTTCTGTGTGAGCAGTTCTCCAAATATACAGCCCACTGACCACATGTCGACGGCGGTGGAGTATTCCTGTGGAGGACACAGATCA